AGGAAGAGAATTTTGATAACTGGGAGGCGAGCGTAAATAGCTGTCTCTTATACACATCTAGATGTGTATAAGAGACAGGAGAGAGAGAGAGAGAGAGAGAGAGGGAGGAGGGTCCGCCACGTAGCGCAATCCTCGCGTGACCCATCTGCGACGTCTGTTATGTGGCACGACAGCTATGCGACAACCGAGATCGTGAGAGCGAGGACGGATGAAGAAGGCGACAGCGAGTGTGGCAACAACGACAAGCATGACGACCACGAGTGCATCAACAGTTGCGAGCGGGACGCCGTTGTCCGTATTTTTGCGGCGTTAAATTTTAATTTAACGTGGGTTAAACGGGACAGTCGGCGGTGAATGCGCGTTAAATGGAATTACACAACATTAGAGGAAGCGCGAAAACTGACGGTTGATGCGACGAGGGTCGACGATTTTCTCTTGTCGGGGTTGCGGAGGGGTTGTGGGGCTATTGGGCGAGTTGGCTTTGCTGCAAGGGGGCAAGAGGGAGTTTATATGGCACAATCTCATTGGTGGTAGCACGAGCCGCTCGACGATGAGGGGCAGTAGACTTTCAAGTGTCGCTACGTTGTTTACGAGTACCTGACGGTAGGGCAGAAAATGGACAACACGGGAGTTGTCATGCGGCTGCGACTTCTCCGACAAAGTCTTCCAAGGTACTATGTATCAGGCCGTGCGCCATTTTACTCAGCTGAACTGATGTACGGAAGCGAGTGTTGAGGCGCTGTACAAGACCGCGCGCTGACTACTTAACACATTCGACTTTGACCAGATGATGAAGGTGGTGGCGTATGCTTGAGAATATGGTGTGAATGTGCCCCAGGGGGGTGGAGGGGTGGCGGTCCCTGTAGAGGCATAGTCGGCGGGTGCCCGGAGGGGTGATATGGAGGATGACTTCGTCGACTTTGAGGGGGTCGCAGGAGGTTGGCAAGGAGGGGCCCCGACCAGGGTATGAGTATGAACCCGTGACAGGTCGGCACAGGGTGGATTGGGATCAGGATGCAGGCATTGCAGGGCAGTGGGGGAAGGGGCCCGTGGCGACAATGGGTGTTGGTGAGAAGAGGATGGATGGAGATGGGGTTGGCACAGGGTCATAACCAAGGAAGAGAATGCAGCAACAAAGTGTTGATGAGGTGTATGGTGGTGAAAAGCCTCAACGGTTCAAGGAGTTCCTTCTTTGGGTGTACTCGAGCGGCGTTTCGTTCAATACGTTCCACAACGACGGATGGCGAAGGGTGCATCAGACCCTCCTCGCACAATCAGGTCCATCTCAGCAAGTTGTGGCACCTAGCCACAAGCGGATAGCGAGCATGGCCGTTGTGAAAGCTCGTCGCGTGGAGTTGGGTGATGAGTTGGCGGAGGTTCGCCAACTGTTCTTTGTCACGGGTGCCACCATCCTCTCCGATGGGAGGAAATCACAAGATGGGAGACCTATCGTGAATTTTCTTGGGCAGGATCTCGTGGGGTTGTCGTTTAGCGAACGATCAATTGAGAGGGGCAGCCGGACGATGCGGTGCATGTCCTCAATAGGTGGATCCCGATCTTCCACAACTTCGAGTTTGGATCACCCCAGTGAGTCAATGCAATTTTATCCGACTCGTGTCGATGTACGTGGCGGCTACGAGGGCCTTGAGCTCGCACAATTGCCCCCCCAGTTGTGAAGGATCACTTGGCTCTCGTGCTCTTTCCATGTCTGCAACAAATTGTTGTGAGATAGTGGTACGGTTTGTGAGTCCCTTGTTGACTGCATCACGAGACCGAAGGCCTTGGTGGTCTTTTTTAAAACCCACCAGGCCAGTTTATTTTTCCATCGCATCCGGTGCCCCGATTTGGGCCTCGTTCTTTCTTGTGAGACGCGAGTTGCTTCTGTGTACGCCATGCAAGAGAGATTAGAGGTTGTGCAGGATGCACTGCAGGAGAATGCGCGTGCTTCGGCATCCATCCTTTGGTCCGGAACGGTGCGCGAGATGGCCCGTTGGGCGAGGAGGCAAATGAGGTGGCAGCCATGGTGGCACAAGCTCATCGTGATACACACAATCATGGAGCCCACCATGGAGTTGCTTGGCAGGATGGACCATGGAGGGCAGTTCATGTCGCTGGTCGTGGAGTGGAGTCAGGATCTCGTCCATCATATGCGGTCGTGGAGTGGAGTCAGGAACTTGCCCATCGAATGCGGGATGCCTGTGGTCCGATGGGGGAGTGTTTCATGGAGAAGGTTGATCAGGCGGGGGCAGAGTCTAGCACATATAGGAGCCAACACACGCAGCCACATTCTTACTAAACACCCACAGGCGGCATGTGCTATACTTCTCTAGGGTGGAGTTCTTACAATGCTTGGCTTGTTCGGCAAGCCAGCAAGTTTATTCTCCCCCAGACTGGTTTCGACATGGAGGGTCATGCGTACCTCGAGGCCATGTGGCAGCTCGAGGACTTTCACAACCGTGGTGGTAGATGCAGTGATTACCGTGGTCGGGAGGCATGGGGGAAGGCATGCATCGACGATCGCGAGACGATTGACTAGGCTTCAAGGTGGTCCACGTTCGGTGACAGGGTCCCTGAGCTACAACAGTGCGCTCTTTGTCTGATGCATATGTGGTCATGTGCCTCTTCGACAGAGATAAATTGGGCAGTCCATGAGGGCATCAACATGAAGAAGTGCAACAGATTGGCGTTTGAGAAGGTGGTGAAGCTTGTGGAAATCACTGCAAACATGCAGTTGATGAGCTATAGGCAGTCGGACAGCGACAATGTTCTTCCCTGGCAGCGTGACAAGACCATGTTGGACGTCACTGCGGAGATAGAGTTGGAGCCGGCGGCCACAGGCAAGCGAGAGGGGATGACAGAGGAGGAGATCGCAGAGCAGATTGTCAGCATCTCCAAGGACCCCATCGGCACGGCTCCACCACCTGGTGTCGCATTCGTATTCGGCGAGCATGCCACAATTTTTCGTCCCTATTATAGGGACAACGAATCTGACTACGAGCACGACTTCGACGATGAGCACAATCTTCACCTATCCATCCCCAGGGAGATAGATGAGACTCACTTGAGTGATGCTGATGTTGACTTGGGCCGGAGGGATACACAAACGACCAATGAGTGCTTCAAGATGGGGGGTCTTGAGGATTTATGGGGCGAGTATGGCCAGGTCGGTACCACGTCCTCGGACCTGGCAGTAACGCAGTAGGCACTTCTGGGTGAGGAGGCAGATCAGGTGCAGGGATGCCTATGTCCCGTTCATCTCCTCCGGCCCCTTCGCCCTCTCCCGCACCTTCGCCATTTGTAGACCCTTCAACATCGCTGGTCGATTCGCCGCGACGAGCTTGTTCGCCTGTCAGGTCATGTAATGCACTCACCGACACACCTGAGCTTGCAGCCACGTGTGTGGCGAGAGGTGCGCCTCCTTCTCAGGCTGCTTTAGACGCCCCTCTCCCGCCTGCACCCGCGTTTTCGGGGTCTGATAAGGAGGACGACGCCGAGGAGCAGTCTTTGACCAGGGCGCACAGAGTGGGTCGTCACTTGAGGTTAGACTCGCCTTTGCCTGGGATATTGGAGCAGAGGGGGGACGAGGGAGGACATGGGAGAATGGACGTCGGCGACGATGACCCCGTTGGAGAGGAGCCCTCCACCGGTGGCCCGAAGGGGAGCATGCCTTCGCATGTGAAGGACTTTTGTCATGACATGGTTGAGCCCTTCATAAAGGGCATGACACCTGGTTTCTCTAAAGAGATGGGGGCGTCCGAGTCCATCCACGGGGAGGGTGATTCCGAGTTTGGCACTCCCTTTGACTTGGGGTAGATCGACAGGGTACATCGGCAGGAGTCGGCCGTGTGCCACCTTCGCCAGACGTTGTAGTGCATGACACCGTGGATGGTCCGAAGGTAGAGATGGACGGTGGGCAAACAGTCGTGGAGTGTCCTACAAGTCGACTTGAAAGGGTTGTGTGAGAGGCTGCTCAAAGTATGGTGGTGGACGACCGAAGACAGGAGATAGTGCGACAAATAGATGAGCAACGCCGAAAGGAGATTGGATCCAATCCTTCTGTTGTGGTAGGATGCGTTGGAGAGGATGGGATTTGATTGAGGACAACAGGATAGGAGGCACGTGTGGCGGAGGAACGACCACGTGATGTGCCCGCAACGACCAGGGAGGAGGAGCCACAAATGGGCCCCATTGTCCATTTTTCAGGGTTGCTGATGGTTGTCGCGGCGGGGTCACTCTCTCTGGATCCGCAACCACGACCCTCACCGTTGCCTGGGGAGCCACGAGACGTGGGGATGCCTACTGTGTCGTGGCCTGCTATCTGGATCTTGGGACGATGTTGCATGTTCCTTTGGCTCCGCAGGCGGCCGCCCATCCTTTCGATGTTGATGATCTTGCAGCATCAGCCGTGCACGATGTCATTGGAATGGACAGCCGTGTATTGCGAGGACCTCACAAGCACCCCCCCCTGGCAGCAGATTCCGTCAGTTCCATGGCACCCTGCGTCACCAGTGTCGCCCACTCCATCAAGATCAGCATCCACAGGTGGAGCTCGTAGTGTACTTACCGGCGAAGCCACAGGAGGGTATGAGGAGACACGACCCCACTCGGTTGATATGTCGTCCCCCCCAGATAGAGTGCAGGACATAGGGACTGCTTCCTTCCAGCGAGGTTGTGCGTCGCAGTTGCCAACGAAATCGTCGGGGTCGAGCAGGTTGAGACAGCAGGACACGACAAAGATTAGTCTCGACCAGCATTTGTACAGCCTGAAAGACATCGACCGCAACGAGCAGAGGAGGGTGACCAACCACACCGCTCGCCGGCAGCCAGGGTTGGGCAGTAGAGGATCGCAGGGGAGTGGGTTGAGGGAGGTCGCAGCTGCCGGATGTGAGGGCGGCGGGATGATGTCGACACAGACATCGACCGCAACGAGCAGAGGAGGGTGACCAACCACACCGCTCGCCGACAGCCAGGGTTGGGCAGTAGAGGATTGCAGGGGAGTGGGTTGAGGGAGGTCGCAGCTGCCGGATGTGAGGGCGGCGGGATGACGTCGACACAGGAGTGGAGTCGGGGACAGAGCAGGGCCATGCACGCGCTACAAGTTTACAGCAGGCTTTGTGACTTGCAGCCTGAGCCGTGTGCGAGCAGAATCCCTGGCGGTCTGCAAAGCTGCGTCCACGCCCTGTGCCCTGTCTCTTATACACATCTAGATGTGTATAAGAGACAGGACGTCGACACAGGAGTGGAGTCGGGGACAGAGCAGGGCCATGCACGCGCTACAAGTTTACAGCAGGCTTTGTGACTTGCAGCCTGAGCCGTGTGCGAGCAGAATCCCTGGCGGTCTGCAAAGCTGCGTCCACGCCCTGTGCCTGCATAGGATGGTCCGACGCTCGGGGATTCCTCAGGGGCTGATGGGTTGGGTATGTTAAGTGCATCACGACGTTCAGATATAGTACTGATGGTGAGCATGAGGATAGGTCGGGCGAAGAATGGACATTGTGTCATTATTGAGGACGTGAACCCTCCGAGCACGGGGAGGACGACAACTATGAGGAGGTGGAGGAGGAGAGGAGGAGGAGGATGAGAACGGTGAGGAGGACACCGACAACAATACAGCCCCCATCTCCACGACCATCGTGGGCACGACGCGCTACAGGAGTGGGCGACTACACGGGCTAGCGGGGGCAAGAGGAAGAAGTCGGCGTCCAGTTCGCGTCAGAGGCAGTGTGGGAAGGCAAAGAGATTGAGATGACAGTTCGGGCGACAGGCGTCACTTTGTGTTTCTGCCGAGGTTTTCCGTTTTTTGTTGTTTTATTGTGGTACTCAGCACTTGCCGTAGTCGGTAGTGGTTGTCGGCATTTGTGTATCATATTAGGATACACTCTTTAGTTGTGCACCACGATAGCTGCACTTGTACGTAGATCATTGTAGATTTACCGCACTTAGTCGACATCATATACAATTTTGATTTTTCTTTTTTGGTATTTAGATGTTGTCATTAGGAGATGTTGCGGTGCGGGGGGGGGGGGTTCAGTTGGTATTGGACAGGGTTTTGGGGGGCGATAGAAAGGTGGGCCCTAGAAGGGGAATTGGTGCGGTCCTTTCTTTGGGAGCGGTTTCTGGGTATCTGGGGGTCGGTGGTTTGCGGGGCGTTCTGGGGATAGCTGGTCTCGGGTCTGGGTGGGGAGGGGCGTGGGGGGGACAGGTTACGGGGAGGTGGGTGTGTTTGCGAATAGAGGCACGGGTTAATTGGGGGGGTTGGGGGGGGGGCAGGAATTCTTTTTTTTTATGTTTTAACTTTTAAGTGCGCAGGGGTGTTGCGCCACATGTCCGAACCCCTTCACACCTGTTGCATTGTTGCTGAAAAATCGGGAGGCTGCCTTTTTCCCGTTTAACGGGAATTCAATGCGGATCTGGGGGTTTTAACAGGTTTCAAGGCCCCTTTAACTGGACCCCCCCTGCGTTGAAAGGACACTCAGCCGGCGAGCTACTTGCCATGGATTCTGCCATCTATCGTGTCCTAGATCCATCTCGACTGGTGAGCCCCAACTTGACTTGGGTACCACCTGTAGATGGTGGTTGCGCCAATCCTGATTTGGATGGGTTCGTCGAGGTTGGAGGAGCCTTGAAACATTGCATGGTCGCAGCCACCCCACCAATATTTCGAGTTGGGAAACCACATTAGGTGGGCCTCGATTTGGCAGAGACATCGGCTGCACTTGGCTTGTCTACAGGCTCATTCTATGATAGTTGAAGCTCAGGAGGGGCGGCAACAACAGTGGGAGATGACACGTGAGAGTGTCTTTCTCAGGCCTCGGAGGTTGCCAGAGTCGACCATTTGATTTCGAGGAGCGGATTAGGTCCACCATCTGTACTTGTTGGTACCCGTACTACCCGATGCATCCGGACCGAGGATGAAGCTTGTCATCGCGCCATGTGAGCCTACGGGGAATAGCATAAGAGTTCACCAAAACCTGGAAAACCAGTGTTTGCCACTCGAGGAGAAAGGGAGGAGCGGGGATGTCTTCACGATGGCCTTCTACAGGCATCGGCTACGTAGATCTGTAGGACAAGGAGATTGCGACAGAGTGAGGGGGAGTGGAGGAGGGAGAGACAACTATGGGATGCTTATTGCAGCGATCAGGTTGTGCACATAAGACCAGTGTCAATGAAGCGGATGAGCAGTGGGACGATACAGGGCGGACTCTGAAGAGGCGTCTAGTGTGAACATCATCCATGACGATAGTTCTGAGATCCCGACGGGTGAGATGACAGGTGACGATGATGTCGGTGACTCCAACTAGACACCAGACTTGTGGACGACAGATGAAGCTGGAGGAGGGGGGCGCCAGGCTAGACGGAGTGTGGGACTTGGATCACATGGCCAGCACATTGCATTGGTTCCCAGGCCACCAATCGATCGGCGAGCGTAGGCTGCGGCATTGGTTCAGAGATTGGGGTCACAAAGATGATATCTGCCATTTAGGCAGGTGGGAGTCGTTGGACAGACTTGGCTCTCGACATTCCAGGAGATCCAGGGCAAGAAGTGCGTGACACATGTGGAGAGAGAGAGAGAGAGAGAGAGAGAGAGAGAGAGAGAGAGAGAGAGAGAGAGAGAGAGAGAGAGAGAGAGAGAGAGA